TGGATGAATACGGAACTGTGGTATATAAACATGGTGGCGTGTTTTGTAACCATAAAAAGGATATGTATTATGCGTCTTGAAAATGTTATGGCTAAATGAATGTCATGTACATTATGCTAAGTAGAATATGTGTGAACCTCTGAAACAGTATGCTCAGTGAAAGAAGCCAGACACAAAAGGCCATATACTATCTGATTCCATTTATATGAAGATATCCAGAATAAGGAAATCCACAGAGGCAGAGTGAAGATGCTGGCTAGCAGCAGTTGTGGGAGCAAGGGGAATAGGAAGAAACTGTCTATGCTGTTTTCTTTCAGGGTGATAAAAACATTTAGGAGCTAAATAGAGGTGGCGTTGCCCAACATTATGGATGGCCTCGAATCGCTTTGTTTAAAACAGTTGGTTTCATGTTATATGAAACATGAATAATTTGTTAAAGATTATAATAAATGTAATTAAGCTTGTATTTTCTTACAATATCAACAATGAGTCTGTCTCTGTAACCTCCTCCATTAAGCAAGAAATAGATTCTAGCTGAAATCCTCTCGATTGCTCCTTTGGGGTCAGTCTTAATAATACAACCTTATACTTCTTCTATTTTAAGAATCTTTATTCAACAGCCACGTTAAATCCCACAGTCGCTTCATCAGCAACAGTTTTGGATTAATATAAATCACTGCAGTTTTTCAGCTCACTGCTCTTTCTGCAGTCCCTGTTTCTGGTTCGCTTTTTATCCTCTAGGTTCTAGCTTTGACTATTTTTCCAGAAGGGATTTTTTAAAAGAATGTTTTGTCTTGTTTTTTAACTTTTGTGGTTGAGTTTTTGATGAGCTCGTCATTTATTTTATTTTATTGCAGCAAGTGAAAGAGTTTATTCTGATCATTTGTTAGGATGTTGGCTCATCCTGGCATACATAGGCTTTCACCTTTCAGATGCTCTTCAGCGTCCTTCTCCCCCTCACCTTTGGCTCTTTTCTCTCCTTCCTTGAGCAGTTTCTGCCTTCGATGCTTTAATATCTCAACCACCAGGATTCCTGGAGAGGTTTAAGCTTTCTCAGACCAAGAGCAAGCCCTAAGCTCATTTGGGTCAGTCCAGCGTTCTTCTCTTCGTGGAACTGGTGCATGAAAAACAAGACACCAGAGCTCTTAAACTTGACAGCTTGGCCTCTTTCTGTGTTTTCATGAGGACAGCAGTGGTAGAGAACAAAGAGCTGTGGCCAGTGTCTTGCTCACAGGAAGTCTGAAGCATGGATCTTGGAGGCATCTGACCTAACATGAGAAAACATCAGGTTCAGAATCCCAAGCCCTGGATCTGAGTCTCACTAGCCTGGCACTGCTTCTCACGCTCTGGACTCTAGCTTCCTTTTTTGCAAGATGGAGATAGTAGGCCCTTCTTTGGAGACATACACGGTTAAATAGGAAATGCATATGGGAATGCTGGATGCTCTGACTGGCTCATAGTAGTGACTCAGTTGCAGGACAGGCTGATTTGTGTTCAGGTGTCTAGGATTTGATTGCACGCGGAAGAGGCATGTACGTGTTTGCATGTTTGTTTTTAAATATGCTAATTGCCTCCTTAAATGAATTGTCATAATTGTGCTATTTCAATATTTTGATACAACATATGCTCACTTTTTCAAAAGGCTTCTGGTCGATTGGGCTGGTTCCAGTGGATTGAGGTTTTGGTTTTTGACTGAAACTAATAGACTTGTGCAGTCAGTTGGCATTCATGGGGCACCTGTCATGTGCCAGCACCTGTTCTGCATGCTGGGGGTCAAGAAAGGAGGCAGCATTCAACAGACATGAATAATAGGTCGCTGAGATACTTTACAGTCTATTAGGAAGACAGGTAGGGAAGACCTTAGTGAGGTGCTTCCCCGTTTTGTGGCCTGACTCACTGGAATGAACTTGCTGTATGTCAGGCACTATTCTAGGCACTGAGGACAAGACACCTTCACTCCTTCCATCATGGAACCTGGGAGCACCATGGCAGGTGTAATGAGTTGGGGGGATGTGCAGGAAGGGTTTGTAGAGGGAGAGTCTTGGGTGGCAAGGGGGTTGGGAAGGCTTCCTGGACATGACTCTGAGCAGGAAGGCTAGCAGGGGGCTCTGCTTTCTAGGGCGATACCATACCAGAGGCTGACTCCCACCTAAATGGTAATCTGGGGTGGTAGCAGGGGTGAAGACAGACATTATCCCGCAGTTCACAGACCTGCGGTGTGAGAGTTAGGAGCATTCAGCAGGGATGCAGAGCCAGTGAGCTGCTGTTTCCTCAGTCTGTCCCCAGGGGACCATTAATGGCTCCATAATTCCAGGCAAGGACAACAATGGCAGTCCTAACATCGGGAGCATCGACTGTGTGCCGGGTACAGCTCTAAGCAGGTTACATGTGTTCACTTCGTTTACTCTTTGCAGTAGCCCTGTCAATACAGATTACCATTATCTTCTTCAGAGATTAGGAAACTGAGGCACTGAGAGGGTGAGTACTGTGCCCAGACTCATAGGAAGGTAGTGACTGACAGTTCCAGGATTCAAACCCAAGTCTTCATTCTCTTCCCAAGATCCATCTGCCTCCTATATAACTGAGTCAGTGTACCCAGCCCAGGGCCATCCCTGAAGCTCAGTGAGATGTGGGTTTACAGCATTTGCTCCTAGGCCCTGGATTCCATTCAGCAAACTCTTTTGAGCTCATACTTTGTGCCCTGACTTTGTGCTCAGTTCTGAACTAAGCACTAGGGCACAGCAGACAGAACTCACATCGAACACTAAATAAATGCACCCTACATCAGTTAACTCCAACTTGGATGAGCGCTTTGAAGGAGAAATGCTAGGCCATCTTGGGTTTACTGTGAGGTGCCAGGAAGACATTCATTTAATCCAGACTATTGGGGAGGGATGAGTAGCAGTGAACTTGAAGGGAGAGCACTTAGTGGACAGGGCAGCGAAGCCCTGGGTGCAGAGACAGTCGCTGTGGTTAGAGGGGTGAGTGGCGAGGACTTACAGGGTTATATATGGGCCTTCAAACTTGGGCCTGTTTCTATGGCGTTAAAGGGCAGCGTAGGGCCTTCCCACAGAACAATTGTGAGCTTCACACACTGTGCCTGAAGAGAAAGATCTCAGCACCAAGAGGGCCTCCTGGTGTGTGTGCTCCCTACTTTTGTCACTGCTGTACCCAAATCCACTATCTGCTCGTGCTGCACCCAGAAGACAGGAAGAGTCAGCCAGGAGCCAGGCATGGGTTAGACCTGGTGACAGAGTTGGTTTAATATGCAAGCAACAATAAGCAATGCAACATACTAGAAGATGTTATTTTTTTATATGCTGTTATGGTGTGAGGTTTTCTTCCTTTTCTACAAGGTTGTTTTGTTTGTTTGTTTGTTTGTTTTTAGATCTATCCGCTTACACATCAGCCAGGAATGGTGGGGCACACTTGTTACCATAGCTACTTGGGGCCTGAAGCAGGACTGCGAGTTCAGGCCAGCCTGGGCAACTAGTGAGACCTAGTCTCAAAATAACATAATAAAAATGCCTTCCTGGGCTCAATTCTAGTACTGCGGAAAAGAGAAAAACAAAGATTTGTCCTCATATGCACCAGTTCCTTGGGTGTCCTCCCTCAGCTCTGGAATGAATATTCCCTGCCATTGTCTCTGGCCCATGCCCTTACTCTTCTGCCTCAAGGTGCTAGCTGAACAGATGTCCCCTAGGCGTTTCGCTGCTCCTCTGTGCTTGTGGCCCTCCTTTCTGTGTTCTTTTTGTTGCTCTATATTGAATTGTGGGTTCATCTCCCTTCTGCCGAGTCTTATCTCTTCCAGAGATTATAAAAGAAAGACTAACTCTGCAGCCTAACAACCGTGATACCCAAACCCTAAAAGGGCAGTAGGAGAGAGGAAAATTAAGGCCAATCCCACTTGAGAACTTGATGCCAAAATCCCAAACAAAATACCACCACACAAAATCCAACACTGTCTAAAAAGAATAATACATCATGACCCCATTGGGTTTATTCTAGGAATGCAAAATTATTTAAAGTGAAAAAAACCAAAGTTAAAGTTATTTACCATAGTAACTGAATTTAAGGAGAAGGGTTGTGTGAACCTTTCAGTAGATGGAGGGGGGAATTTTTTTTTTTTTTTTTTTTTTTGGTACCAGGATAGAACTCAGGACCTTGGGCTTGGGAGGCAGATGCAGTGCCATTGAGCAAAATCCCTGGCTGGGAAATTTTTGATAAAATTTAAAAGTCCATGCACAATTCAAAAAAGAGAAACTCACCATGATAAACAAGGAATTCTGCTGTCTACCTACTGAAGAATTCCCACTTTACGGTGAGATACTGAGGGAATAAAAGCAAGCATATCAACTCTCACTGCTTCTATTCAGCATTGTGCTGCAGGTTCCTGGTCAGCTCAGTGTGGTGGGGAAAAGATAAACACAGAAGAGCTGGAAAGAAGGTGTCCAGCGTGACTCCTAGTTTCCGGCTTGTGTTTCTATGGAAATGTTTGCACCATTTGCCAAGACCAGAGCCACTAAGATTGGGCCCCGTTGGACTGACTATTGGAAACACGTAAGAGAAAATTGTCCAGCTGTGCAGAAGATCACAGTCAGGGAGTCAGGATACTTGAGCTCCTCTCCCAGCTCTTCTGCTACCATTGGATGACCTGCTTTCCTCCTTAGATCAGCATCTCCATAAAGTAAGTAGCTTTAGAAAGATGGATCCCTGGTGGGCTTTTGAGGCCAGATCTGGTAGGAAAACAGAGAGGAGCAGGTGGGCAGCAGCCAGTCCTGCTCTCTAGGAGACGGGCTCTGTGAAGAGGGTTTCTGGTGGAAGTGAACATCTGCTTGGGGTTGTTTCAGGAATCTGACCTAGGCAGGGGCCACTGAGACCCTTTTGAGAGCTTCCTTTCTCTTTACTAATGGGTTGTTATGGTTATCGCTGGTGTTGTTAAGTATGTTCTGCAGTTTTAAGACACTAACCCCCTACAATATGCCTTTTTGATGTTTTAGACCTATAACAGCCAGAGCGAAAGCAACGAAGACTATGAGATCCCCCCGATAACACCTCCCAACCTCCCGGAGCCATCCCTGTTGCACCTGGGAGACCACGAAGCTAGCTACCACTCTCTGTGCCACGGCCTTGCACCCAACAGTCTGCTCCCTGCCTACCCCTACCAAGCCATGGACCTCCCAGCCATCATGGTGTCCAACATGCTGGCCCAGGACGGCCACCTGCTGTCAAGCCAGCTGCCCACGGTGAGTCTCTGTGTCCTGCCATGGTTCCTGCTGGTCATAGTAAGGAAGGGACAGAGGGTAGCCAGTGCTGTGATGTAGAGCCGCTGCTCCGGTGCAGGGCTGGGGTCCCATCTGCTTGTTCAGAAGGGAGACTGCAGAATATGGAAAGGTGTGGAGGGAAACTCACCACACTGCCCACTTCTGGAGCTCTGCTTACAACTCCCTGGGACTTGTTTTATTATTTATTAACAGTATAATTTCATTTGTATTTATTTTCTTTTTAATAGCTTTACTGAGATATAATTCACACATTTAAAGCATACAACTCTGTAGCTTTTTGTAGGTTTAGAATCATGTCACCATCTGTAAAAGTTTGGAACAGATTCATCACCCTCCACAAGAAACCCATACTTGTAATCACTGCTCCCAACCTGCCATCCACTGCCCCGGCCCTAGGCAACCCCTGTTACTTTCCACTTACATATTCATCTGGTCTGGACATTTCATATAAGTGGAGTCATATTTTTAAAGATTGTATCCTGCTTGAGCAGCCAGGGAAGAGGGTGATCACTGAGTTGAAACTTGTGGGGTTGGTAGAAGTTTTGCAGGCAAAGGCAGGAAGGGATCTTCCAGGTTCCGGGGCAGCATGCTTTGGAGGAGGCCGGGTACTCACGCAGCAGTGCCTCAGTGCATTGGGTTCCTTCTTTTTATTGGGCTGGAAAGCAAGTACCCGAAGCCAATGAGAGAGAGGGGTGGTAAAAGAGCTCAGCAGACTCTGGGTAATAAGGATCTTGAATCCCACGTGAAGGGGATTGTTTCTTATTTCTTTCTTCTTTTTGTCACTCAGTGCTTCATTTCCTTTCTTCTTCAATTTCTGTTTTAAAACTTTCAAAACATTTTTATGAGTACATGTTCGCAGGACATAATGATCACACTCGTGACAGGGTTGGTAAATGCACATTACATGTCTTAATTCTCTTTTATGTCCCCTCCCCCCTTCCATCACTCGGTCCTCTTGCCATTTGCAAAAGATCTATCTCTCTGTTTCCCATTGTCTGTCTTTTGTTTTGCTCTTTAATTTATGTATTCTTTGGGCTTCTCATGTAAGAGAAATCATTGTGATATTTGAGTTGTGTGTCTGACTTGTTTCACTTAACATTATGCTCTCATAGTGAGATTGTGTTTTCTTAGCGTGAATGGCTCGTTCGCACTTTCAGAAACTATAGGAATCAGTAGGCTTGGCAGCGGGCAGTAGGAGGTACAATAGAAAAATCTCCTGACGCTGCTAGATAACAGGGACTTGGGTTTATTGTTGCGTTTTCTCCTTCACTGTTAATAGTGTATACTGGTCACAACTCTTACTTCTATTTGTAAATAACAGGAAAGAAATTCACACTAACTTAAGGAAAACACTGAAATATCCAAGGGTGGGATGGACAAAGGGGTTCAGGTGTCATTTGACCCAGGAGCTCCAGCAGTGTCAGTAGGGCCCGGTTGCATCCCTGGTTCTACATAGGGCTGATGGCTGGAGCAGCCCGCGCACTTCCTCATGTCTCCAGCAGGTGGCCATTTGGGTGTTCAAGGAGCACCATGACGGAGGAGGAAGCGGTCTCCAGTTTTGTCAGGTTAGGTTGCAAACATGCCTGTGGCCGGAGGAAGGGCTGCTTATTCGCCTTTCCTGTCAGAGTCACATGGTGTTGGGTGAATTGTTTATCTCTGCTACATCTGCTTGGAAGCCACAGCCGAATTTGTGGCCCAGTGCTAGCAGATGCCCGGGGCCTTTGGGCGTGCTGTTTATGTTCTAACCATCTTGACTGTGTTTTATTTCTTTATTGTTTACTCTTCTTTTATTACCAACCCATTTTCTTGCTTAAAAAACCCTGGCGTGCCCTGTGTATTTTTGTAAGGCCCCCCTCACATTTTTGTTTTCATTTTTGGAAGGTAGTTGAGAAATAAACGGAGAGAAGGGAGGGGGGAAGCAACTGAAGAGCTATGTTTTATCGTGTTCTGTTCTCATGAAAGAGCTCAGTGAAAATTGATGTTCTGTTTTTCAAAGAATATTTTCCGTTTGGGCCCAGCAGTCATACAGATTCTCAGCTGCTTCTTCTAGAAGTCCTGGCAGCTCGGTCTCCACTGTCAGCCTTTCTTCACCTCGTTAGAAGGTTTGTGCCTTAGCTGCTTTCCCAGCTCGCTTCCTAATAAAAACCTCACCACCCCCATTCATGACTTATGATAACACAGCAGGGGCAGGACCAGATGGACACCTCTGTCACGTCCGTTGGTGCAGGGCTGGTGATAGAGTACACTGCTGAGGCACCTGTTGCTGGCTCGTGGTGCTGGTGGCTCATGGAGAGTGTGGGGTAGCGGTCAGCCCAAGGGCTTGAGAGTCTCACCGACTCAAGGTAGGGCCTTGTCCTTCATTTCCTTGTCTTGGACTCGTAATGGTCCCTCCTCCAGGTCACTGTGAAATGTATCTGAGACAGTGTACATAAAGTCTTTGCAAATGTCTGGCGGAGACTAAACAAGCAGGGAATATTTGCTATTGTTATTATTCATACTAAAAATGAATTCCCACTATAACCAAATGGCAGTTTTCCCTTTAGTCTCATTTTTCCAAAGAAACAAACTGCAGATACTCCCAGGTGCATTTGTAGGATCCCTGGTTATTTGATAGCTCTGATAATTACAAAGCATGTTATCTGCTAATCAAAGATGACCCCTTATTACTGCCTCCTCAGAGTGTTCTGCTGAGCTCTGTGCAGACAGGCACTTTGCAGTTATTTCCCAGATTTCCTTGTAACTAGTTCATGCTTAAGATGCTTCTCAACTGCTGATAGCCTTAATTCTTCCATTAGCCTGACTTTGCAAGGGTTCACTGAATTTTATTTCCGCTTGTTATGCTATGAAAGATAAGCCAGACTCTGTTACCCAGGGGAGAGGTCCACACCAACTAGGAAAACCAGATAAGAGCTTGTACGTACATCGGACTCTCTGGTGAAAAGGCAAGGGGCCTGTGAAGACAGAGTTGCCAGATTTGTGGGAGCTTCCAGATGAAGGGGTATCTGTGGGTATGTGGGCACATGCCACGTGGGCAATACTGGGATTATGTTCGCACCGGCTAGGTGCCAAGCACGGGGCAGAGGGCTTTGCAAACATTTTTGCACATAATTTTCCCACAATGGAGGAGGCCAGAGGAATTAGGATCCAGAAGGGAAGAGGCTCCCAGGAGGCTGGACAGCATGCAGTAAATTCCCCAAAACAGTGGCTTACAGCAGCAGATGTTTATTCTCTCCAAGATCTGAAGGTCAGGAATCAGTGCCCTGTGCTGAAATCAAGATGCCAGAAGGGCCATACTTCCTCCTGAGGCTGGGGGGAGAGTTTGTTCTGCCTCTTCTACCTCCTGGGGGCGGCTGGCCTTCCCTGGCTTGTGACAGGGGCTCTGCCACTCCAGTCTCTGCCTCATTGTTATAGTTTGTGTCTAGATATATCCCCCGACCCCCCACAAGCCTCATGTAGTCATAAGGCTTTTTTTTTTTTTTTTTTTTTTTTTTTTTTTTTTTTTTTTTTTGGTTGTTTGGT